TCTTAGCGGTTTGTCCCCAATACATGTTTGCTATTATGCGGATATCTTTATTATCGATGCCGGTATTTTCGATGATCTTTAGTAATAGCTCATGGTCTACGCTGTCAAACGCTTTGGCAAAGTCGATAAAGCAAAGATATACTTTTTTGTTGACATCTCTACATCGTTGGATAAGAACTTGTAGACTAAATATAGCTTCTCTTGTCCCAAGGGCATTCCGAATCCAAATTGGGATTCACTGATGTTTTCTTCACATTTATTGTATATTCTGTTGTGGATTATTTTCGTGAAGACTTTTGTAATATGATTGATGAGGCTGATGAGTCGGTGTTGATCACAGGTTTTTGCGTTTTGTTTTTTCGGCACTGCGATGAAGGTTGATTCAAGCCATTCTTTGGGTATTTCGCCTCTATTATAGATATCATTAAATAGACTCGTGAGGATATCGAGATATTGATTATCAGTTTCACACATAAGTTTTAGTATTTCTCCTTGAATGCTATCAGGTCCAGGAGCTTTATCGCTCTTGAGAGATAGAATAGCTTTTTCAGTTTCGAATTTTATAATTGGGGGTCCCGTATCTATCTCATTCATATTGTGTTCTTTAGATCGTTCCAAAGCAAAGAGGAGTTCGACATATGATTTCCATACCTCTAGACTTTTGATGGCTCCGAAATAATATTATCGTTAGTGTCCAGTATGAACGTATTTCTGTTGTTTATTTTCTTTGTTGTCATTTTCCTTATTTCCTTATGAATATTGTGGTAGTCGTACTTCACTTAATATTGTTCTATCTTGTCACATTTTCAGAGAACTATTTACCGCTTATTTATTATTATTTATTAACCGCTTATTTATGCACCGAAAATTAGATTGTCCGCTGCTATTTGCTGCAAATAGTGTTTTAAAAAATGTTGTTTCTAAAATGCATAATAATTGTGTTGCGCAAAAGTTTCAGCATCTTTTTGTCGCCCACTGATTGAGGTTAACTAGCGCGTCGATACTCAGACGGCGGATTATTTGTCTCTTTCGGGAACTCGGCTAAATGCGGTGTAGCCACGTATTTTTGAGTTGTTTTCTTTTCGGTTAATTTTCGCACTTAAAGAATGTAACAAAAAGTAAAAATTAATAACCTGAAAAGACTTGAATAACCTAAACCGGCCCAAATTGAATGATTCTACATGCTAATTTAGAAAAATTATGAAATTCAGCCTGAAAATGATGACTTTCCTCAAACTTTGCGAGTGTTTTTTGGCTTAATTTCTGGACCATCCAAAAATCGAATCAAATCCGATGGGATGGGGATTGAGTGCAAAAGTTGTAGATAATAAAAAAAGCTAAAACTTTTGTATTTAACACTTTTTGACAAAACCTCAAATTAGCCGTCAAAATGGCCGGTTTTCGCCAACCGAAACCGGCCATTTTGACGGCT